TTCCTGGTGTCAACCGGAGTTGTATTCCGGAAGTGAACTTTGGCTGGAATGTGAAATCAGGAAGATCGATTATGAAGCTAGAAAAAGTAACTAGAAACAGTGATTAAAGTAGTGTGACATTTGTCTGACAAGCAAGGAGCTCGATCCATCCTTATCCAAGATAATGAGGGTGTCACAGTGACAGGTCACATGGAACACCTCAAAATGGGCTAAGCATTTCCAGCAGCTACTTTTCAGACTCGTCATTTCAAACCATTGATTGTATGCCAACATTGGCGGTTAGTTCAGACTCACCCCAGAAATCAAAGTCCACTGATCGAATATCTCTGCAGTTAATTTAATGTGGGTGAATGGAAATGGCAGGAAAGTTCTCTGCCCTGTTCCATAAAATATAAGTGGCATGTTTCCATTCTATAGGGAAGCATTTTCAGATCGCTATTTGATGAAACAGGGCAGAGGGTGTTCTACCATTTCCGGTCATCCGTGCCTAATTAGCCTAATTAGCTGCAAAGAAATTCGATCAACTCCACATGACTATTTCACTTTGAGGTGCAAGGTAACTTCATGAGTTTATAGTTTCTTGGTTGAATCTGAATCATCCCTGTCGTTGGCACACAAATAACATTGGAAATCCGTTAACTTGTGATTTTTTCATTGATCGTTTGACATAGACAATGACAGCCCATATTGCGAATCTCTTCTGGCATACTGTAAAATGTGCAATCATTGCAACTGTGATCTCTCGCTGCAGAGCAATCTGACAAACCAGAAGTTCAAGATTTTAATGGTCCAAATTCGGTGGACATCATTAGATTAGCTTTCTTGTGAAGGAACCCTTTCCATCTGCTTGTATCAGAGATCACGCTGCTTCTGCCATTATTATGTGTTCATAGCGGTCGATGAGTAGACTAGTTTTGATACACAAATTTTCGGCTGTTGTTGAACGTTATTTTGTATAAATACATAGCGGCTTTAAATTACACAACACCTTTACTAGCTTTTCATATTATGACAAAAGACAGTTCCAGTGATTCAACATATTATGTGCTCACATTTGCGCTGTTTGGTGTCATAATTGTTGCAAATATTAAATTATTTTTTAATTTTTCTTTTTTGCAGATTTTTTAGCCCGCTCTTCCGTTTGACAGTTGAATTTTGTTTTCATGTTGATATTTTCAATTAATTCTATATTATCACAACGCATTTATTTTCCGCTGTCGTCTTTAGCGCCTTTCCTTACTGCATTCGACTTGAAGGCTCTTTTGCATTCATGCCAGCTCCTGAATGCAAAATTTTCTTTTCCCTAATAATCAGTTGAATCTCCCGTGTTTATCAAATAGTTCTTATTCTCAGGCGGTAGGCCAATCTGATTTAAACCACTGCATTGGGCTGCGGCTCTGATTAAGCCGCTTTTAAAGAGCGTTCACTAGGTTTCCAAACCAGGGATCCTCATTTGGATCTCTTAAAATCTTCCTGCGATGTTGCTTATAAATTTCGCCTTGGTATCCCCAGGGAAACATATTTCCCATTTGATTCTCTGGTTGCTTCTACCGCCAGATCTTCACATGCTGAGGAAGGTTATCCAACGAGAAGGTTCCAACGAGAAGGTTCATTTGACAGCTCTGTATCCTTCTTAACACAATTACTCATTACAGATCATCGTAGGTGTGACGATACGATTATGAAATTGATGATCGACTTCTGTGCACAAGTTTACCTCCGTCAGCTGTGATACGCTTTTCACTGCTTGAAGAAGGTGCTCATAACAGACATTCCGTTGTTTGTACTTCATGCCGTTATTGTTGAGGTCACTAGGGTCATTCTTTCCAATTATCAGTGTCGGCTCTGACATGAGCATTGAAATCACTAGACATAGTGATTAATTGAATAGTCGGCACTTCATATATGGCACATTCTTCTTCCTTCAAGAAGGTCTTATAAACTTTCTTCGAACTTAGCGCAATGACTGAAGCACGGTAAGAGTCTGTTACAATGTCAATTGGGTGACTGGCGCTCATCCACTAACAGACTTCGATTCAATGGTATCAGCCAACTTCGGTTTTGTCAGACCACTAACACCGGCCTGAAGACGGATCGCTGAGTCGACATCTAAGCAGAATTGCCTCCACCGGCAGAGATTTACTATTTCGGATTTCTGGCGCTTCGTGGAGGAGGGTAAAATAATCTCCAATCTCTACCCTGCGGTCTAATTAAATAACTCATGCTCTTTCCCTCTAAGTAATGAGACGCTTCGGTTCCAAACTGTGAGCTCCCACTCTCCGTACCGTTCCTATGGAACCTCACCAGACGTGCTATAATGACATCGCGCTGTTTCTTGAGTTTAGT